GTACACAGTTTCTACCTCCCACCGATAGAGATAGAGGTGCAGTAAACTTGTGGTTTTGGCATTTTATGGCTAGAGCGATATATGCGAGACGCTGCCTACCTGCATTCGCGTTATGAAAGTGTCCATAAACAATTGGTAAGTCAAATGCAAGTGTTGTTAAGTACCTAGAATTCAATAATTTTTTGTTTGTTGGTTTTAGATGTGTAGACAGTGTTGTTTGAGCAAATGTTTGGTTTTTGCATGTTAATCCTGAAGTGAGCTGCGTGAAATTGATGTATGGGTGCATAAACAACTGTCTGGGGTAGATTTTTTTTGATTGTTTAATTGATTCTTAAAAGTCTGATTTGTTTAATTGATGAGGAAAATAAGAATTATTATTATTTTTTGCTTGTTTAATTGATTTGTAAAAGTTGATTTGTAAAAGTTGATTTGTTTAATTGATGTGTAAATAATTCTTATTTGTTCTTGTTTAATTGATTGAAATGTAAAAGTTGATTTGTTGATTTCAATCTACATCATATTGAAGGCAAAAGACCTGTTGAAGGTACACTTTCGCAACACTAAACTCAAAATCGCAATGCGAAAGTCAAAATCGTAATGCGAAAGCCAAAATCGCAACACGAAAGTCAATTCGCGTTACGATAGTCTAATACGCTTTGCGAATTTCTCATTACGATAGTCAAATTCCCGTTGCGATAATCAAATTCACGTTGCGATAGTCAAATTCGTGTTGCGATTTTTGCGTTGCGATAGTAAAATTCGCGTTGCGATTTTTGCGTTGCGATAGTCAAATTCGCGTTGCGATATTCAAATGAATGTGTAATAAGTGATAACAACTGAAAAGATCATAGCAATGTTCAAACTCAAGTTACTAATACATGCCTAACTGAAAATGTTAAAAGTTTACACATAAAATACACATAATAGTCAAATTCGCGTTGCGATAGTAAAATGAATGTGTAATAAGTGATAACAACTGAACAGATCATAGCAATGTTCAAACTCAAGTTACTAATACATGCCTAACTGAAAATGTTAAAAGTTTACACATAATAGTCAAATTCGCGTTGCGATATTAAAATGAATGTGTAATAAGTGATAACAACTGAACAGATCATAGCAATGTTCAAACTCAAGTTACTAATACATGCCTAACTGAAAATGTTAAAAGTTTACACATAAAATACACAAAATACAACGTTTGCATTTAAAAATCACCTAAGTTAATAGTCCCAAAAGGTGAAGCCGGTTGTGATTGGGATTTTGATTTTGATTGCCTTTTGCTTGACACCATATGAGCTTTGGATTTTGATGAGGATCCATATTTTGGTAGAGGAAAAGATGATTATGATGGCACTGGTGATCCACATGTCAACCTTGTATGACCACTTTCCTTGCACCGACTACATGTCGATCTCTTCTTCTCTTCACCCTTAGACGGTATACGATCGTGACTTTTTGGTCGGCCAGGTAGCCTTCTGCCCATGGCTGGTGGCAAAATTGCTTGTAAGTCATCTGGTATGTCCTACTCAGAAGGATGTGGAATAGGGTAGATAATCTCGGCATAAGTATGTCGATATACTTCTGTAGTTTAGCAATCCATAGCGTATGCGCTTGAATCATCTTGGTTTAGATGAAGAGCAACTTTTATAACATGGCCACATGGATAACCAGATGTTTGCCATTTCATACAACTACATGTCTTTGCATTTAGATCGACAAGCCCATTTAAGTTATTATCCAGTACTTCAAACAAAGTGTGTGAACATAGTTCAACTCTCCATGACGTTGACTTCACAACACGTTTCGTTATCTTTTTTTCAGTCCATGGTGTAACACGATGTTCCAATGTTCCTGTAAATTTAAATAAATAATATTTAGTAAAATATATGATAAGTTACGAATTTAAAGAAATAATACATGCATGGTTTCTTTTCTTGTAGTACCACTGTTGAATAGAGGCTCAAAAAAACTCCATTAACATAGTAATGGGTAATTTCCGGGAATGACGACTTAGAGCGTTGATTGATTCTGCACTATTAGACGTCATGAAATCCAAGTTGATGTACTCTTGAGCATCTTTCAAACCCGACATCTTCTAGTGTTTGAGCACACTGAGGCAAAACACGTCTTAAACAATTTATTTGCTTATTAAAATCCACTTCCCGATAAGCTTTTACAGCCTTCCAGTATGTCCATTTATGATTTTTTATACCAGCAAACCTTGATTTTAGATTTCTATACAAATGAATACCACAAAGTCCATGAATCAGAGGTTTCAGATTTGCCAACCCCGTAAGCTATTGGAAATATCCCATTGTTAGCATCCATGACTACTGCTAATAAGTTTACTCCAAGGTATCGACCTTTCAAATGTGCTCCGTCAACTATAATAACTGGGCGCATGCAAGTAATAAACGAACGAATCTACAAAATAATATACACAAGAAATATAATCATTTAAATGTGAAATGCATGTAACTAACAAAAATGAGTCAACAAAATTATATTGATTTACTAACCGCAGCACCAATGGTGATAAACAGCAACTCAAAGCGTCCATCTCTATCTGTTTTGATATGAGTTACCGACCCAGGATTTTTCAGCTTTAAATTGTGACAATAAGCCGGCAGTTGGGCAAACGATGCTTCTGGCGACCCCCTCAACAATTCCAAGGCATAACATTTGGCTCTCCAAGCTTGAGAATATGAGATACTAATCTTGAACCGAGCATTCATGTCAGTCATAATTTCATGTCCCCGATATACCCTGCCATTCAAAAACATTAACTCAGCCAGAAAACCACCCAACACCTTTTTGTTTGTCTGTCTATGGTGAGGAAAAACTTGGGTTCTTGAACATGTATGTTTATCAATAAAAGTCCTAACTTGAAACATTTCGCAATCTTTTATCCTCTTTGCAATCATACGCCACGTACAGTTTTTGTCAATCATACACCTTGTTTCGAAACGATCTTTGCTTGATTTGTTAACTTTTAGTTGATAGCCATCTTCCACATATTTCGTATACAAAGCTATCTTCAAGTCTTCCTTTGTATCAAAACAATTATCTTTCTTGATACGAATAATTTTTGTGTAACAATCAAGTGTTATCTTTACCAACTCTTCTTCCGGTATCTGAAGCAATTCTGGCATATTCCAGTTATACTCCCTTGGCATTTTCTTCGGGGACTTTTCTTCGGGGATTTCTTCTTCTTCTTTTTCTTCTTTAGGGTTATATGAATTACAAAATAGATGTTCAACATGTTCATTCAGAGTCGTAACTTCCTCCTCATTATCATTAACAACATCTTCCTTGGCAGCGGTTGTTTCATCATCAAAATTCGGGTATTGACCAATATCAAAATCATTGCACGCAGGGTCTGTTTCTTCTTCTGAAACATCATCAAAATCCGAGTATTGACCAAGATCAAAGTCCGGGTATTGACCAAGATCAAATTTTGAATACTGACTAGTACTCACAATTTTTTCTGTTGGCTCATCATCGTCTAACTGGTCAATACGAAAACCGGAATTTGGTGCTGAAAGTTGATTGGGATTTGGATTAGGGAAAGGTTGTAGGTTTTGAGATTGTGTTTGGTATTGGAAATGTGGTGAAACAAAATTTGCTTGGTGACGAAATTGTGGTGGAACCATTAAATTTTGAGCACCATAAACTAGGGTTGAAAAACTTAGTTGATTACTACCGGCTACTGACCCAACTTCACTACTTCTAGGTTCAACAACATACAATGTAACATCATCTTGCGAAACACTAATGTAAGCAATGAATCGTTCAACATCTTCATTGTCGGTTAACAAATAAACTTTACATTTTCTCTGATAAGATAGCCTAAATCCACTTAGGGGCTCTAAATTCAATTTATTTGCAACACGTAACATTAGAGTTTCATAAGTTAACTTTTTTAATGACAGTTTTAGTTGAAGATTCATGGGTAAAGGCATATATTGTAAAACACCATGAACATTCTCCCATGACCCTCCAAAACACAAATCTATCCAAACATGATCAACATTAGATGATTTCATTATTGTAAATTAATTTACAAAACACACGAGCTGCGAAACTAAAACTTGTTGCCGGATGGGGAAGGATGTCGTTGGATATAGGAACGGATGTCGCCGGAGAGAGTGATAGATGGAGATGGAATGAGTTGCGATTTAGGGATTTAGGTTATGAGTTGCTGCTGCTGCATAGTTATATACCCAAAACATTTGTGTTGCGAAACTAAAACCTGTTGCGAATTTGAAATTCAGTGTTGCGACAGTTAGAATCGCGTTGCGATGGTCAGAATCGAGTTGCAATTATGTATTATCGCGTTGTGATAGTCAGAATCGCGTTGCGAATCTGGAAACTGATTTGCGATACTGGAGATCGCGTTGCGATTTAGAGATCGCATTGCGATTTTATTGGTCATTTTGACAAATCGAAAAAAAGTTGGTCAAAATCGTATATTATAAGGAATTTTCGGTCACTGAGGTTATTTTCTCTTTAAAAAATTAGTTATTACAAATATTATCATTAGAAATATATTAAATATTTGTCATTAGATAAATAATTTTTTTATTAATTTTAAAATAAATATAAGAAAATTTATTCAAAAATAATTTTTAACCATTTTCAATTCAAGAATATTTTATTCATCAATAATGTATTTTTAATATATTTTTAATAATGTAATTTTAAAAAATCTAAAATTATAATATAACATTTTTTTGAGCTGTTCACGAGCTTTTCGAGTCGAGTATCGAGTAGCTCGTTTCGGTTCGTTAAGAACTCGAGTCGAGTTCGAGCTCGAGTTGAGTCCATTCGATCCGAGTATTTATCGAGCCAAGATCGAGTCGATCTCGAGTAGCTCGTGATCTGTCTCGTCTCATTTACGGCCCTACTCACAACTCGTAGAAATAACTCCATTTTCTTCAACTACATTTGTATCTTTTTTTCCTCGGAGATGGCGCAGCCAAGTCTAGCCACCAAGTTCATGCTCGCACTGCTAATCCTCCTCGTCGTTTTCTCCGAAACGATCAACGCAGCGACTTATACCGTGGGAGGCTCCGATTGTTGGACATTTAACATGGCCACTTGGCCTCAAGGGAAGCATTTCAGGGCCGGTGACACACTCTGTAAGCACATACATGTACATTTATATATATATTGAAGTTTTGAATTTGAATATTTGGCTCGTTTACAGTGTTCAAGTACGATCAGACGATCCACAACGTGGTGGCGGTTAACAGAGGAGGTTACCAGCGTTGCATTACACCGGCGGGTGCAAAAGTGCATAAAACGGGGAAAGATGAGGTGAAGCTGCGCAAAGGATTGAACTTCTTCATATGCAACGTTACTGGCCACTGTGAATCTGGAATGAAGATAGCCATTGATGCTGTGTAATCACCCACCTACTATTTTCTTTCAACAACTATGATTCTACTTGTTCATCTAAGACACAACTTACCTTGTTTTTTCTACTAATGTCTAAGTTTTTTTTACCCCACTAATATATCAAAAGTACCGATTTGATCAATGACATTATCGATTTATAACAAATCGATCACTCGTATTGAGGGTAACAAAATGCAGATATGAAGCATTAAACCCAAATAATTCTTGAAACCACATACCCTCCGAAGTGCTTTCCATTTCATGAAATTCAATTGAATTATACAATCTTTCCTTGTAACTCCAGTATTTGGTCTGGTTTCTCCAAACATTTCCACTACTTACATTGAATATCCCCACTTTCATAAGGAACCCATGAGTTCCAAGCAAAGTTGCCATTCAACATTCAAACACACGACGACGATAACATCTATATTCTCCATGAAGTTCAAGTTGACATTAAGATTACTTGCTGTCGACATTGAAAGTGAACAACCCCAAACGACGCCTTGCCATGCTTCGAGTATGTCGAGGCGTTGTGATCTCGTTTTTGGAGCAGGAAGTGGTTCTGGGGACGATAAGTTTGGAATCTCGAACCAATCTAGGTTCAGCTTCCAAGCGAGGGCTCTCCCATTGAGCCAAGTGGTTGAGGTTAGCAGCATCTTTAGGGTTAGCAGCAAGAAACCGAACGAGCGTCAAATTTAGCTAATGGGGAGTCAAACCGGTGGTTTGTTTGGTCGTCTTGTATGACAAAACGATGTCATGTACTGGTTTAACGAACCATATCAGCATTTTGTTATCCTAATAATGACTGTTAACTACTAGTAACCAATTTGTTATAAATCAATATCGTGAATGATCAAAACATTACTTTTAAAATATAATCAGGGAAAAGAGAGAGTTACTCAAAAACTATAAACCAAGTTACAGGGAAATTAGAAGAGCATTGAAGTAAACTTGGGAGCAAGACAACAAAAGCATGTTGACTGAGTTCGATTGATACGAGGACTTTCTTGTGCAAAAACTTGGCATCAGCGGGCCCCGGTCCTCGGTGTACACGAAACGATTTGGCCTATTAGTCTTCACCGTCTATGTAACGACATACATAAACTTCCACACTTCATTTTCCATCTCACTCTCTTAAACATTTAATTTCTATGGCCCAATCTTTAACTACAAACACCCAAAATCCCTTCCACTTCTCTCTGCAACTCTAAGCTCCATCGAAACGCCATGGACAGAGAGCAAGAAGAGATGCAATTCCTTGGGTTCTTCTGCATCTACATAGTCCTTCAAACTCATTATTTCATGCAGAAAAATCTTCAGCAAGATCACTTTATCTCTAATCATTCCCCTGTCTTTCATCGTCCTCCTTCACATGGAAGTTTCCAGTCTCCTCTTTCCCCAAATCATGCACACCGAGGTCGAACTCGACCAGACCCCATCACCCGCAAAATCCCAGAAACTCCACGATATAATCTCCTCCGAAGTGGCCTTCTTTTGGCTCTTCAAAGCCGCCTATATCACCCTGTATCTAATATTTTCCCTTCTTTCCACTGCTGCGGTGGTTTACACCGTCGCCTGCATATACACGGCTCGTGAACTCACGTTTGGCAAAGTCATGAGCGTCGTTCCCAGGGTCTGGAAACGGCTGATGGTCACCTTCCTATGCACCTTCGCCACCATGTTCGTCTACCACGTGGTGGCGATCTTCACCTTTATCAGTTGCGGATCTTGTTAATACAGACCGACGTGGTCGACGCGGTGTTGGCTTTGGTGCTGCTCTTTTACTTCGTCGGGTTCCTTTACATGACCATAATCTGGCAGTTGGCCAGCGTCATGTCTGTTTTGGATTCAAGCCATGATGAAGAACAAGAACTTGATCAAGGGAAACCTTTGGGTCGCCGTTATTATCTTCGTGAAGCTCAATGTGAGCTTCAAGATCATCCACGCCGCGTTTCAGACGCTGGTCGTCGATGGGATTGGGAGTAGCCAGGGAATGGCAAAGAGGGTTGTTTATGCAATTCTTTTGTTTCTTGTTGCTTTCTAAGATGATTCTGTTTGGACTGGTTATTCAGACAGTGATTTACTTTATGTGCAAATCTTACCACCATGAAAACATCGACAATCTGCATTGTCGGATCACTTGGATGTTTATTTGGGAGAGTATGTTCCTTTGAAACCCAAGATGTTCAGCTTGAACAGTGTCAGGTTTGATTGACTTCATCTTCAAAGTCAATCGATAAGATGATGCATGTAATACTTTATATTTGCTATAAATTAAAGCGTTATTGTTAATGTTTTTTTGGTACCTTTAATTATGAATAAATTAGTTACTTTCATTGCAATATTTTTCTTATTTATATTTAATTTTCATTTGATATAACCCATGGCATCTTATTTCTATTTTGATTGAGTACATATGCAATCACGGTTGTTTAAAAAATAACATGGCACAAATCAAACAATCTTAGTGGTTAATGGATTTGTTGTTATCTTGTATGATCACAGATTCGAGTATCACATATGTAATAGGTATGAACATTCATTTTTAAATTGTTGAAAGTCTTTTAACGAATACTACCTTTTAACGTATGCAATCACGAGTGTTTAAAAAATAATCTTTAATGGCACAAACCAAACGACCTTAGTGGTTAATGAATTTATTGCTATCTCTTATGATCCCAGATTCGAACACCACATATGTGAACGTTCATTTTCAAATGGTTGAAAGTCTTTTAACGGATACTACGTTATATTTAGTTATTCACCCAACTTTATAAAATAAAATAATGTTAAGGAACTATCAAGTGACTTCAGTGATAAAGAACAAAGTTATTCTCTTGAGATGTCTTGGATTCTAACAGTTGTATCTACAAACTGTGTGTACATTGTCAATAAATTAAGAAAATTCTAAATATATATTATCTTGTAATCGCACTCTTACTATTAAAAAAATGTTAAAGGTAAATTACACCATTCATTAGTCTATTACTTTCTCACTTCTATTTTAATCACTAAAACTTAAAACATTTCAATTAAATCACTTAATTTTTGAATTGATCCTATTTTTTACTGACATGAATTATTTTATTATTATTTTCCTATAACATGACATATTTTATTAGTATTTAATGATGCCAGTCCCAATCTTAAATCTAAACCCTAATCTATGCAAAATAAGATAAAATAATATAATCTCAATCCTAAACCTAAACTCTAATATATGCAAAATAAAATAAAATATCATGATCTCAATTTCAATCTCAATCTCTAATCCCTAATTCTAAATCCATAAACCTCAAACCCAAATTTTTACTCTCATCGACCACACCCTCATCGGTCATACTCTTATCAATAACACCCTTACTGAACCTAAGCCAGAAATCAAACTCATCAAACTCGTATAATCTCAATCCATAAACGCCCATTGAACTTCAGCCATCAAAGAATCTCCCCCAAACAATTTCACAAAAGTAAGGGCAAGCAGTGCCAGGGCGTATTGGGTTTAACAGGTGGAAGCACTTAGAAAAGAATGAGGCGAATGCCTTATCTGAGGTGTTGGCAACAGTCGACGACTTACATTTGTGAATTCATAACCAATGGATTAGGGAGAGATTGAGTTGTAGACGACAACGACCACAATCTGTTAGTGTGACGGTATTTGTTGAGTCTTTTGGCGATAGGAAGATTTAGTAAGGGAAGAAAAAAGTGATTGGGGGTGAGGACGTCGAGGATGGGATGGGGGTTGTGATTTGGGGGTGAGGCCGTCAATAAGCCACCGTTAGTCGATGGGAGGGTGAGCCTGTTTAGGTTGAGGGTTGTAATTTCATGTTTATGGTTTGGGTTTAAATTTGAATTATAATTTAGGGTTTCTTTTAAAATTTAGTTTTTATTATAATCCAAAGCGGTATTAAAATACAAATAAAATATTTCACATCATATGAAAATAATAATAAAATAATCCATATAGTTACAAGTTACTAAAATTTGAATAATTCGAAAATTGAATGATTAAATTAGAAACTTTAAATTATAGTTTCTAAAATAAAAATGAGAAGATAGTTTATTAAGAAATGATATAGTGTACTCTAACATTAATTTTAATTAATCAAATAATAATCTCAATATCTATAATCAAATTAAAATATGACATTATTTTATTTTATTTATTTTTAATGTTTTAATTATAATAAAATAAATAAACATGTCACATCACTTAAAATTATATCATAGTTTAAATTAATAATATATTTTTTAATTAAATTGAGCTTATAATATTAACAGTATTTTTAGGTGATATTCTCTAAAAATCACCCTGACTAATTTTATTTATCTGTCAGACACCATTTTATCTTTATTTACCGATCTAACACCCTTTGCAGGAAGGCGCGACCCATGCACCGCGTCTTACGCTGATCTGTGGGGTAAGGCGCTGCCCATGCATCGCGCCTTATGTTGATATGGCGACACACTGGGTAAGGCGCGGTGCATGGGCCGTACCTTTTTGCAATTATGACACTCGTCAGAATGGCGCGGTGCATGGACCGCGCATTGTATAATTGTTTTCGCACTTCTCGGCTTTAAAGCGTTTTCTCTCGGCTATAAATACCCCCTACCCCCGTAAACTTTCACACAACAACGGTACAACCGAAAAACTAATACAATAATCCTCTCAACCCGAAAATATCACCATACAATCCTCTTATCTTTGATTCAGAAGTTCGATCGATCTTTCGTTATAAGGTATTTTTTATAATATTTTTTTTACAATTATATATGATTATTTGGAAAAAAATATTGTACTAATTGTTTTCAATTAATTTTTGTGGTTGTAAAATTGGAAAGCAGAAGCATACGTCGAAATATTTTTGTCGATACGGTAATAATATAAAATTATATTATTTAAATTATTTACGTTTATGTGTACAAATTTTATTGTGTTATATTTTAATTCATATATTATTTATTTAATTAGGCTTGTTTTAGTTTTTTTTTGCAGATATAATATTATCTCACTTTCAAACTCTAAGAATGGCTCGAATTTCAACTATTGTTTATTATGATGAAAAAATTAGG